CTGTTTCTTCTGCAAATGACTTTTTCTTTCATGTCTCTATTGAAAATAATAACGAAGATGTACGTTCTTTTCTCGTGTTCAACAATGTGATTTAAATGCAAATGAAAAATTTTGTAGCACTGTGTGTACTGGAGATTTAAAAATCCATTAGTATGAGGTTAAATAACTCCAGGTAGTGCAAAATGAACACATGTGGTGGCCATACCCTTGTTTCTCTCTGACTGAAGTGGATCATGGACCCAACCATTTTCTTGCTTGTGTATGTGTCACCAGGATTGAGTACATACACAAGATGGCTCACTTTCGAATGAGGACCCAAATAGCAAAGCAGACAGCAGCGTTTCAGAGAGGATTCCGGACCATCATCAACCCTGAATGGCTCTCTCTTTTTTCCACCCCTGAGGTTTGATATTGCTCAAACTCCCCAGTCCATATATTTTTATATTCTGGACACGAAAAGCTGTAGCTTAGGCTTTGCATTTCCCTCTATCTGTGATACGTTTTTTCTGCACTCTTTTCTTTTTCCTTCAAGAATATCTCCCATCAAGAATATTGAATTTTAAAAGTTCTTATTTAAATTTTTGTTTTGCAGACACAATTTCACCATTCTTTTTCTTGTCTGTAAACTTATTAACACTGGGGTCATCAGGGACTCACAATAACTACAGAAAGTAAACAATTTTTCATGTCTTTTTGCCAATGTTTCATTGTGAGATATTATGAAGCCACCAAATTCTGTTTTCAAGAAAATATTGGGTTGGAAAGAAAGTCTTGCAACACTCTGCGCAAATTTTCCAAAATGTTATAACTTTATTGAAATGCAATTTCAATCTACAATGTAATGACCATTGTTGTCTATGACATGTTCCCAACGCATGGGTAACTGCTCGATGCCCTTTGCCCAGAACTCTGGCGATTGCGAAACGAAGAAACGGCCGACATCATTTTCGAGCTGTGCTTGATCATCGAAGGCCTTGTCCCATAGGTGATTCTCGAGGGCCCAGAACAAGTGATAGTCAGAAGGGGCCAAGTCTGGAGAATACGCTGGATGGGGTAAAACTTCCCAGCCCA